GTGAGTGATAATAAGACGACGACCTTTTCCAACTGGAATTTTCAAACCAGTGGTCCAACTTTCCATAAAGGCTTGTCTTCCACTTTTGATGTTCTGATCTTGCCAAACCTTCAAGACGGTATGACCCTCATTGACTCATGTTTCATCCAAATAAAAAATAGATTTACCTAGAGCTCTGGCTTTCTTCATTTCTCTTGAATAGTTTCTTCTCCATTCTACAATCTCTGATTTTTCTAACATGCTTTTTCTATCCTTGCTTTCCAAAAGTGAAATTCAGCTCATGTAATATCTTCCATAATCCAGTTCTTCTTATATCAGGAAAAAAAAACTGTTTTCACGAATAACTGACATAACTTTATTTAATGTAGGTATTTCGTATTTTATGTAAAAAGAGTGTACTGTTCTAATAGAATTCTTGACTTCTTCATCGATAACTAAACAATTTCTACCAGTGGATACTCGAAAAAGTTGTTGTATTCCTTGAGTTCCTTGAGAATTCTAAAAATAGTCGATCTATTGACACCGGTCATACTCGCGCATTTTTGCACTACTTCCTCCTTACTTTTTATTTCGGGCGGATATTGTATTCTTAAAGAATTATATACATTCATCTTATTTCTGAACAGACAATAATTGGATATACTCGTGGCATACACGTATTTCAACAACTCTGTTGAGGTACATTTCAATTCTACGCTTTTATTCGTTAGATATAGACCATTTTTAGTTTTCGGAATTTTTGTTATAGCATTTGTGCGTAATTCAAGTAAAGGTAAGTATCACATTTTTATTTCAAAGTTGCTCTATTTTTTATCATGAATGAACTGGTCCCTACTGAACCAAATGCCGTATATATTTCCTGACAATATCGACCAATAATTTGTTCAAATAGCTCAAACGACAAATGGCGTAAATCGGGTAATGATACGCGGATGCGTACGATTACCCTCATTGGCGTACCATTACCCGCATAATACCAAAACCATCAGTACATGTGTTTCAGCTACCCATATTGTTGTTTGAGACCTAAAAAGTACGTGAAAAAAACAAATATCGCTGGTTGAACCGAGGAGACTTCACAGAAAGCTGTTGAGGCGATAGATTCTGGTAGAAAAATTCGAGAGGTTTCCAGATCATTCAAAATTCACGAGGCAACAGAAAGAACAACAACATATCTGGTCCAAGACTAGGAAGACTCTCTCTCTTCTCAGCTGAGGTTGAAACTCAAATGGCAAGTCAGGTTCTTAAACTAGCTAAATTGTTTCATGGATTGACTCCGGTAGAGTTACGAAAACTCACGTTTCAATATGCAGAAGCCAATGGCATACTACACGATTTTAATAAAACTCGCCAAGAAGCAGGCAAGGATTGGCTGCGATTATTTCTTGAGAGAAACCACCAAATTAGCCTAAGAAAACCCGAAGGAACAAGAGTCAATAGAATTACCGCTTTCAATGAAGAATCCGTTGAAACTTTTTTTCCAATTTGGCATCTTCGTTAGAAAAATTTTAATCTGGTCCGAAAAGAATCTTCACTGTTGACGAGACTGGGATTTCAACTGTTCAGAAGCCAACTAAGCAACTGGGACCAAAAGGCGTAAAACAATTTGGATCAAAAATTATCTTGGGAACGTGGAAAGAACGTAACTGCCATATGGGCAATGAGTGCTTCTGGGACCTTTATTCCACCCCTCCTAATATTTCCTCGGAAACGAATGTCTTCTACATTGACGAAAAATTGACCACTAGAGGGAATTTATGCAGTTACCGATAATGGCTGGAGCGAAGAAAAATGTTTTCTTCAGTGGTTACAGCATTTCAAATTGCATCTAAATTCATATAAAGCAAACCGTGTTCTCCTGGTGCTCGACAACCATTATAGCCATATAACTCCTGCTATCGATAAAGTTTCAGACCATAACACTCAAAATTCCACTAAACATGCTATGATACTGAGACGTCTTCAGTCATAAATATCTACTTATAATAAAGTTTTTTTATTTTTTTGTTTTCTTTTTTCTATTTGTGATTATCTTTTATTTCTTTTTTTTCTCTTTTATATTTTCATTTTTCACATTGTATTGAATTGTTTTCTTATCGTTGAATTTAAACAATGTTTAAGTTAGCATATGTAAATTTAAGGTCATTATCAACAGGTTTCGCACAATTCAGTTACCATTTGCTCAATGAGAGACTTGACATTGTTGGTTTGGCTGAAACCTAGCTTAACCATGATATAAGATCTGACATATTCAACATACGAAATTATACTCTCATTCGTGCCGATAGGAATGGCAGAGGGGCGGTGTAGGTTTCTACATATATAGTAACATAAACTATAAATTGATTTTTTCCCAAATATCTCAAACTTTAGAACAACTTTGGATTGAAGTTAAATTTAAAAGTAAAAGTTATATAATTGGAGTTATCTACCGTCCTTCCCAAGCTAAGATTCTCCAATCACTTAACGAGCTAGAAGATGCAATTGGAAATCTGCTACCTATCTGTGACTCTCTAACTATTGTTGGAGACTTGAATATAAATCTTCTCCTTCCTGATAAACGATCTGAACATTTCTATGACTTGCCTTACTCCTTCGAACTCCATCAGCTGATGACTACTCCTACCCGCATATCATCAACAAGTCGGACTTTGATAGATATTTTAGTGAGTTCCCACCCAGATGACATTGAATCAGTAGATGCTCATGATATCCAAGGCATTTCTGACCATCTCATGATCAGTTGTACTATCAAATCAATCGACATTCCTAATCACATTAAGTACATCACTTATCGATACTTTACTAAATTTGATTTTAACCTTTTTCAAGTAGATCTCAATCTCATCGACTGGAATCACATCTATACGTTAGGAAATTCTAATGATGCACTTACTTTTCTGTATAATAATCTTATAGCCCTTTAAAATCAACACGCTCCGGTTCGAACAGTTAGAACTACTAGACGCCCAGCCCCGTGGTTGACACCCACTATTAAAGAAATGATGAAGATCAGAAATAGAGCCTTGATCAAATTCAAGCATACCAGACTAGAAACTGACTTTACTTTTCATAAGGACATACGTAGCTATACGACGCGAAAAAAGAGCTTATCTAAATTTTGTACTCCACAATAAAAATGCCAAAGCCAAATGGAATACCCTTAGATCTCTGGATATCCTGAGGAACATAGACTACAAAAAATTCAAAATTCCTGTTTACGTTTTTCTCATGGAATACGTAAATTTGAACATATTAGTATGAAATTCAGAGAAATAGGATGGTGCAAATTAGATAACTGTCGAAAACTCCATTTACTTACCTTGACACACAAAGTTATAACGTCTGGCAAACCTACGTATCTCCTCAATAAATTTACTATGTAAAAAAAACCTCAATAGGGTGAACACAAGGAAAAATAATATGCTAGTTATTCCCAAACACTGAACTGCACTGTACCAACGTTCTTTTTCATATTTTGCATCTAAATTCTGTAACACTCTTCCCAAGGAGTTTTGGAACTTCTCTTTATACAATTTCAAGAAGAAATTGAAAATCTTACTTCAGTCACTATAGAGTTGCTTTTAAGACGGACCTGTATATGATTATTGTTTACGCTAGGGTTATAAATGAATGAATTAAATTATTACTTTTTTTTCATTTCAATTATTATTTAAAAATTTAATTTTTATTTGATTTGTACTTTCATATTTTATACTAACACGAGTATAAATTGTTCTGGAAATAAGTATTTTTGATTTTATATACGCTAATACTCAAATAGTATTCTATGATTCACCTATATTTTTCTTTTTTTTTTCGCTAGGTTGAGTTGAAAAGCAGCCTAGGCTGATACTTCACCTTTTCATTAACCCTTAATTATTGTTCTAAATTTTTGTATTTCATTTTTTATATTATGTCGATGAATAAAGACGATTATTTTTATTATTATATCCATTCCGATTTATAACTATAATGGAATTGACATGTTGTCAATACCGCCACATACCTCCCACCGCTTACAACCACTCGATACTTCGTTTTTCGGCCCATTCAAATGTGCTTTCAATAAGGACTGCGATATTTTTTTGAAAACTGGCAAGCAAGAGAAAATAACTTTTCCAGATTATGCAGAAACATTTAAAAATGCCTACGTTAAAATTGCGACAATGGAAAATGGATCAGGTTTCAACTCATCTGGAATCCACCCATTCAATCCAGATAAATTTACCAAAGAGGATTTTGAAGCTGCTAGTCAATATTTGCCTACTGTATCTAATGATTTGGACTCCACAAATCAGCCTGATCCCGGCACGTGAACTACCAAAGTTCCAATTATACCCCAATCCTGTCCTAAACGAAAGTGCTTTAGCAAAAGGCGAAGTAAGCATTGCAAAACTTTCACCGTTGCCATCATATTCTGGAAAAGGAAAAACTAGAAAATACACCAAGGGAAAGTCAGAAATATTAATAGCTACACCAATGAAATTAATTCTCGAGGAGAAGCAACAAAGAAGGAATAAAATGAATTTTGCTCGAGAAGGAAAGGGTAAAACTATCAAAGCAAAAGTGCCATTACGCAAAAAACAATGAATAAAAGAAATATGGAACTAGATTCTGATATTTCCGAGGACAACGAAATTGATGAACTGGATGACATGTATGTGGATTTAAATGAGAAGTATCACTGCTTGTTATGTGAAGATTTCGGGAAAGATGGGGAAATTTGGTATAGATGTGTTACCTGCGGGAAGTGGGTACATGCTGAATGCAGTGGGCAGGACTTTGCCAATAGATCAATTAGTTTTGTAATTTTTAGGATTTCAGAAAACGAAAAATAGTTTCTATCTTTTCAATCTACTACAATAATTTCTCAGCAAAAAAATTGTTTCTGACTGTATGATTTCAATCGCAGGTTGATCTCACGAAAAAGATTACCAAAAATGAAATAGTACAACATAGCATTAGTCATTCCCCAATTTTGCCCCACAATTACTAACCGTTTCATAACAGCTGTCCAAAGTGATGTTATCAGATCTTCTAATGTTTATTTCGACTTTTGGTTCTGGGGGCACTAAAATCATGAGAGCGAAACAAAAAACCGTAGCAACTATAATGCCCATGAAGATTGTTTTTCTGTATGCTCTGTAAACATCAACCAAAAGTCCAAATGCTGGTTTTGCGAACAGAAAGACGATGGGTAGAATTCCTGTTACTGTACCCATGACTATTGTTGATATTCCAAGTTCTTTGCCATAGACTGGAAATTGCGGGAGAATCGGACCCATTGCTGAAAATTGAAAAAAAAGGTTACATTGTTTGCCTTCGATGTGGAGAGTATGTACGAGTATTAGATTGTTTCAGAAGTTTTGTTCGTTTTAATGTCAAGAGGTTTTGTAGCTTGTGAGACGGTAGCTGGTGGGATGGTAGCCTGGTGGGTTGACGTTGATGGCTTGCTCCACTCACTCAATTGACCGCTGTGTGAACCGGTGATTCGGACTGCAAGGCTGAACGATCGCTTTTTCACTTCCTATCGCCCAACCAGTATTAGGAATCACACATTAAAATGTGAGACCTAGTTAGTCCCTAGCTCACACAAGTTTCGATTTTTGAGAGTTGCCGTTCGTATGTGGGCAACAGCTGGTTAACGGAAAATTTATTTTAAAACACACAGACAGACAGCTCCATATCTCAATAAATATTAATTTTACTGTGTCGTAGTATATACTGATCAATAGAGAATTTTGTACTCAATACATTGATTCTGTCAATTTTTTTCCAAATTTTATTTTTTGTCCTTTTTCAGCTTATTTACTATATGATGATAAGCGATTTTCGGCTAATTTTTCTTCACGAATTCAAATTGAACCGAGCGCTGCCGAATCCGCCCAAAAAAATTAACCAGGAATTTGACAATGATGGTGTTATTGAACGAACTGTACGACGTTGCTTTGCGAAATTTCGTTCCAGAGATTTCAGCCTCGAAGATGAGCCTCAAAGTTCTCGACCTACAGGTTGGGGTTTGAGGACTCTGGTGGAGACTGATCGATAACAAACGGTGTCTGGGATGGCGGAAGAACTGGGCGTCAGCTCTCGTCAGCGGTTTGTGATGATTTAATAAACGATCCTTTTTTTAATTGGATCGACACATATGCTGAAAAGTGGATCCTCTACGACAACAAGAGACATTCAGGATAGTGCTTAATTACCGATGAGCGATCCAGGCACTTCCCAAAGGCAAAAATCAACCAAACAGGTACCATGGTTACTGTATTTTGGTCAGCGGCTGGCGTGATTGACTGCAACCGGACCAGACCGTCACAACAGAGTCCAATTGTAAAGAAATTATTGAAATGTACCGAAAATTGCGTCATTAGCAGCCGGCACAGGTCAACAGAAGAGGTCAGATTCTGCACAACAACGCCCGTCTGCACGTTTCATAAATCACCAATTGAGCGAATCAGGACCAGGCATAAACGACCTTCGTCGACTACATCAAATCCCGAGCACGCAATTTTCATGCAGGCGGAATTAATCGACTCGTAATACGTTGGTGAAAGTGCACTAATTCAAATGGTGCTTATTTCGATTGAATTGAAAAAGAGTTTTTACTGATATATTATATTTTGAAGGAGACTCATAAAAACGGACCGAACTTTTAAAACAATCTAATATGAAAATATTCCGTATGAAAGTTTATTCAAGAGAAATCAGCCTTGAAACAAGAATTATTGTAATAGGTACTCAATCAGAAAGACATGCAAATAGACGGGGTGGGTTCAATAATATATCAAAATTTCGAAGAAACTGTCGCAAATAAAAAAACTGTGGTTTCCGTTTGAAAAAATTGAGAATATTCCAATGATTATAATAATTACAATAAATGAATAATCAAAACTCCGAAATGCTGAATACTGATATTGCATTCAAACTCACTGCGTGGGCATGAATGGACTTAGCGAATTTTTCATCAATGTTTACTATTTGATCTTTTCAATTAGAGAACTTTTCTCATTTACCCAAAATTAGAATAGTTATAAAAAAATTCAAAATCAGTACATAATAGACATAACCTGAGTCAAGGTTGAAGAGAACAGAATATGGGTTGGTAGGCAGTAGTCGGATGGAAACTTAATAACCAAACGTTTCGTCTGCTACTGTGGCAGACATCAAGTACTGATGATGTATGCCTCATTCGCTGTCTGCCTCAGTAGCAAACGAAACGTTCCATTCGACCAGATTCTGTTCTCTTTGTTTAAAAAAGTAGTTACAAAATCGCCATCTGAAATAAGAAAGTTGCTTTTAACTTCTCTACATAGTATAAAACAAAGTTGATTCCCGCTGTCTGCCCTATGTATGCTCAGATCTTTGAAACTATGCAAAGGATTTTGATGCGGGTTTTTCAATAGATAGAGTGATTCAAGAGAAATGTTTGAATGTATGTAACATGCATAATATAGTAGACAAACACTGATAATTTCAGAAGTTTCTAATGTGATGTCGTAAATAATATAAGAGTTAAATCAAAAAATGTACTACATTATTGTAGACCTTTTCAAGGTGTACACAATAACTATTTTTAATCTTCGAAAAGTAATGACTTATTCTCGAAGGGATTTCAAACAATACAGCATCAATCCTTATCCAATTAATACATTGTGCATTCAATATAGATCAATATGGTCCTTCACAGCATGTAATTTAAATGTAAGTTTTCACTTACATTACTTACTTGAGTTTTCACTTATAGATTTGAAATGCAGGGACACAGCGATTGCGGCGGTACCGGCCGGGAGGCCGATGGCGGGTGCCTATAATAAGCTCGTCGAAGGCCGTTCCTCCCTATATCACTTTATGATTAGCAGCGATCGCACGCGTTTATATGTATGTTTAGTATTAGCATTGCACCCGTGCGGAGCCGGGGTAGACCGCTAGTCAAGATATAATCGTAGGTTGAAGTTGGTTGAAAATATTTCAAATGCATGGATCATTGTCAATAACTTCCAGATTTCAAATCGCTCTACTTTTTTGAATATGCCTAACTAAACTTCGTCAAGAATCCTCCTGTTTGAGATATCAACCACATTTGGATGATTATGGGACTCATAATAATTCTCTAAGAGTTCGGATAAATTCCCTCCATCTGGCAGTGCCGGCCAATGCTGCTACGAACAGCAGATTCGAGATACTTCGCTGATTCGCCGCACAAATTCCTGCATTTCCTGCTAGCCGTTCAATAGTTGACGACGATCACAGTATACGCAGTGTGTGGAATTCATGGAGTGGACCGAAGACGTTATATTCGATTTCATAACTAAGGTGCGTTCTTATGGATGTTTATGGAATCCTAAGGACAAAAACAAAAGATCTCGGATCAAAGTGAAGCAAGCGTTAATGTCGATTTCAGGGGAGATGGATATAAACGTCGACGAAGTTAAAAATAAAAAAGATAATCTATTTCAAACGTATCGGAATTATCGACGTAAGGTTATAGCTAGCGCCAAGTCAAGTAGCGTTTATAAACCGTCATGGATTTATTACGACGTGCTGGACACTTTTTTGCACGCTGTTTATACGCCAATAAAACAAAGATTCAGTACGGTAAGTTAAGGCAAATTAGGGTAGTCAAATTGTTAATGTCATAAGTCGTTTTCGATAAATTCGTATTTTTCAAGAATTATGGATTTTGCTGTTAATACATAAATTCACATGGGAATTCAAAATCAGATGCCAGCGCCAAGGTGGTGAAAGTGTAAAACATGGACGTCTATACTGGATTCACTTTAAGCGTTCAGTTATATCTGCAAACCAGTGTGTTTTGAGCCCCTGTTTCGAAATAGTTTGATCATTGTTATCGATTTTTTTCGATGAACATTTTAGAATTTTATAGAAGTGGTTTATGTTCGTAAACATTGTTCACCAACATATCCATCTTGGCGAAAAGTGAATAACTTTTTGAAACTAGTTTGAATATCTGAAACTTTGTTTTCGATGTTTTCTTTTATTTGTATTGTTATTTTTTTAATTGCTCATGATTTCTGAATTTGGCCATTTTCAAGTTCATATTGTAACAAAATTAATTTTTTTTTGATATTAAATTGAGTTTCGATCATATAAAATGGCTGAAATGCTGGAGACAATTTACATATTTTCTACCAATGATCGACAAAAAATAAACAATCATTAAAGACAACTAAAATAATCAATTTTTTTAGTTTCACAAGATCGACACCAGGAGGTTTATCGCTTATTTTGAATCCACCGTAAGGAAATATTTGACTTGTGTCAATATAAACCAGAAATAACGCAGTTTGAAGCGAAATTTTTATAGTGAATGCAGGTTTCGAAAACGTTAACCACTTAAGAAAGCTAAATATTAATTATCAATTTTTCAATTTGAATTTTCATTTTATAAATATCATCCCGCAAACCCACAGAAACATTTCGAAAAAAATATATTTTGGTGGTAATTGAATTTAATTTTTCAGAAAGCTATTCTTTTACCCACTCACAGATTTTGTTACGTATCATATGAATATCATCTCCTATTTAAAAAAAAATTATCTGGAGTCAGAATTGAATTTTTCAGGTTTTCTGTTATTTTGACCTACAAATGAATTTATTTGGAGAAACTACCCTGAAAATAACGTCTTGTAGTGTGGACGTAAGAATTCCCCGTGCCGAGTAAGGTGTCACCCGTGGGGGCATGAGTTCTCCTTAACAACCCCTTATCTCAAAGTGTGAGTGTGTGTTTATGTACTGAGTGGCTGTGTGACTCCGTGTCACAAATACAGAGTTCTGCCGGAAATTCTTCTTCCTAGCTATTCGTTTGATCCTTCGTGGACCATGAAGTAACCAAATAATCTGACCCAGAATCTACAGAGGAGATGGACGTCAACTCAATTACCGAAATTGATCTCTCTGTGACATCAGTTCAAGAGCAAGAGTTTTTAGTTTTTCGAATCTAGGAAGCTAGATGGAGCAGCCAGAAACTGACTTACTGCCTCCTCAAGAGCAGACTAATCTGTCTTGAGCAGCAGAAGCAGAACCAGATTCAATATCCTCCTGTGCAAGTCAGCAAACGTTTATGCTCAAATGATGATTCTCGCAACCAGAGGCTAAACAGCTTTGCCTGATTGATTATTATGCATCGTCAGGTATAGATCTGGCTTACGATGTTTTCATAAGGGAAGGTTTCTGTAGTTATGGAATTGTGAATTTTGCAACTAGAACATTCAAAAATCTCAATATCGATCAATCAACTGAAATTTCTTCAATATGCCATTATGGTTGCTCCAGAGGATATTCCAGAAGATGATTCACATATGTGCACTTTCCAGCCTAGATGACTAGATTACGCCCCTGGGTCAAATTCTTCTCGCTTCTCTTTGTTCAGCGGTAGAACGTCATTGCATTATAGAATTATTCAAATCATCAGCTTTGTAAGTGATGAATGTATGTATAGCTCGAACACATGTCGGTAAACGACCTGTGGGCAGCACATTTTACCTGATCAGAGGATTCGTCAATTAGTCAGTACCAAATTAGAAATTCGAATAATAAGTTCAGGTGGTTCTGAAGATCATCTGAGATGGATTTTATTCAAACAACAAAAGGGGAAATATGTTCAGAATACAAAATTTTTAATCATTGGTCTTGGCTGGTTACTTTGTCTACTTGGCTGGTTACTTTCTCTACACTTCATAACAAATTCCTCATGGTTGCGTTCATATCGGAAGAAATCTTTTTTTAGAAGAGATACACTTTTGAAAGATCTTTTTAACGTTTTAATACCCTATCAACATAAATGAACCTAGTAATAGTTTTCCAAAGTATTTTTCATAATGGTTTCATAAATGTTGTTTGTTTCTTTGAAAATTTTCCATTTTTGATAGAAAAATAACAATTGTATTTCATTACTTTCGGGATTTTCATGTGGTTTTTGAAACGATTGAAGATAATTATGTTTCTTTATGAATTCAATTTATCTATTTATACAAGTGATGCAGCCTATAAATGAAATAACTATAGTCTTCAAATTAAATTTATGTAATCAGCCTATGTTCGTTCGACGATCTGGAAGTTGTCTCTCCTCCTTTGTTGTATTTCCTGCAGCTAATGTATCCATTGTATAGCTATATTTTGTTCACCTCTTCAACATAGACAGTGTCCAGTGAGTATTATTTGTTGAGTCGGTTCTTCAACTGTTTTCTCAAACAGTGCCTTTATTTTTTCCTCCTTGAGGCTTTGTTCACGTGATGGAAAAGTTATCACTTCATTGTAGTTGTAAAAATTGTGTCTTTGACGAAGGTATTTTATATCTCGTCGAGATACGATAAAACTAGCCGAGTTCCGTCAACATTTTTGTCTTGCTTGTATCTGTCCTGCACTGACGAGGAGTTACACTCCGAAAATGTGATTATAGTCCATTGTACAATGTAGTATTAGTCGAAGAAGGAATTGTTTTCAGACAAGCCTGTGCAATAGCTCACTATGCAGGGCATTCAGAAATGTTAATGATAATAATTTTGACACACCTTCAAGGAATTGAGGGCATTCCGTCAAATTGATTTCTGTTGTAGATACTTTGTTATTCGAAAATAGCGGAATAATAGAAGATATCAAATTATGAAAAAATGATCACTGCTTTCGCAATCAAAATTTTCAGTGTTACTATTTTTCGGGTTCGAAGGCCGTTGATTCTTGGAATTTCGTCCTGACGCTTTGCTGGCACGAGTGACTAGCTTCTTCAAAGGTTTATACATGCTGGGTTAATCCTTGATGACTCGGAGATTATATTTGATCCTAACATGATGCTATCCAAAAAATTCATCAGCACTTCTTTCTATGAATCGGATTATGAATATATACCTTTCTCATCAATTTCGAATCCACAAACTTAAGTATGTGAACCACAAACGATTCAACTTATACTGATGCCTCAGAGATCAAAAACCTTCCGAAATCAAGAGAAAACATTCATCAAGCTCCGGATTCATTCATCATTACATTAATTGAAAGAAATGACAGAACTGAGTAGTTTTAACATATATCCAAAAGTCACAAACATTAACTTTTTGGAGAGATTTTTTCTCTCAGGGTTGTTAAGTTTGTGCATGGTGATTCAAAAAACCAAACCTGCTTGATGACATAACTAAAAATAAATACTGGCTATTCTGAATTTGACATATTTTTTTAGGAAAGAAGAAATTAGCAGGCCAACACTTATATTATGATACCATGTAGTTTTAAAACTTTTTCAATCAATATTCTTCCTTACTTAAATTGTTGCATTTTTCGATAGGACCTCCTGTGTTTTACAGAAATCTTGAATCTACAAGAGATTGATACCAGACATATCAACTGTTATTTGTTTATTTTCAGTATTCCCCCATTGAAATAGTTTTATCACATACTATGTGTCCGTCAGACTGTGTTAACACGAACTTAAATACTACTGAATGGATTTCCATTAAGTTTTCACCTATGGACGCTGTGATTCCAAAGAAAGGTTTACGTGTGTGATTTATTGTTTTTTTAAATTGGTTGAAATAAGACGATGTTATCTGTGAGAAGTCGGGGTAATGGTGCTACCCTTGCAGGTACACTTTGAAAACGCTGACTAATCTATTTGAAATATATTGCTCTTTTATAGGTATACAAAAGAAGTGACGATAGCATACGTGTATTTTTAAGGAATGGTTAATATATCATTTCAATATTTGAACTAATGATCACATATGACATAATATGTTAATTGGCAGGTTATTCCGATCTATACAATATCAATCATCATCAAATGAGATTTCCTTCACACCATACAATTTGAATGGATGTCAAAATTGAAACTATCGCACGAGAAAATGAATTTAATCGCCTTGATAAACCAATAAGACACGTATGATGACAAAAAGTTGTTTTACGTGGCGAATAAGTTTGAGGGTTGAGGTCAAAATTCTGTTTTGTGTTGTTTTTGGTAAATAATCAAATGTAAACATCATTTTGTTTGAGCGAATTTTACCAAAGGTCATTCTTATTAATTATTAGCTGAGGCACCCGGTAAGAGAGTTCATATGAGATTGTGTGCTTAGAATAAAATAATACACTCAAAAGTATAAAAGGTCGACAAATCTTAATGGAAAGCTTCATCTACATAAAAAAACTCGTTGTTCCATATTTCTGCAAAGCATTCGAGACTGTGCTGGGACAATATACAATGATCTAGGATGTTTCAGGATATTTCTGAACGTTCTAGAGTATTTCCAGAAATTCCACAATATTCCAGTGATCCGATATGTTATCTCTAGTTTCCTGAACTGTTCTAGAAATTTTTAAATTGCGAAATTTTCAGCCCGTATATTTTCAAAATCACTTCCTTCAGGTGAAAATGGATTGGAGATATTCCATTCCAGAATATTTCGAGATATTTCGGAATATTCTGAAATGTTATGGAATGCTCTCAAACACTCTCGAATGTTCTGGACTCAAAAAAATTTGGGCATATATGATCGGCTACCCGTACTAGCCGGCTGGTATCGCTGGTTATTGTATATTAGCCAAATTCAATGATCTTAGTCGTTCAAAGAATGTAAATCTCCACGGCCGGAGATAACAGTGTGAAAGCTATTTTCAGGTTTTGTTTGGCCGTGGTCTGCAGATTTTTTTATGCATTATTAAAGGCGATGTGGTAATAGTAGTCATGCCCGAGTTAGTGCTCGAGTTATATTATTAGTAGGCGTGGCTTGGATTCTCTTAATCGGAAAACCTGACCCTGTTTGCCTACCTGTGAGCCCCGTGTCTTTGAATTTCAATTGCCTCCCTGAGTACCCTTGGATAGTGAGTTGGAGTTTTATCGAGTATTACTGTATCTTCGAATAAGGTATTGTGAGTGCCTTCTTTGTTTAGAGCATGTTCGGCTACAGCTGATTTGTTGGTTTGTCCAAGTCGACAATTTTTGTTGTGTTCCGGAAAACGGGTACCCACATTTCTTTTCGTGGTTTTAATGTAGATCGACCCGCAGCTACAAGGAATCCGGTACATTCTGGGTGTTACTAAAGGTTCTCTGTGGTTCTTAGCTTACCTTACACTTTGTCTGACAGTTTTTGTTGGCCTAAATATTAGTTTCACGTCATGTTTCTCTAAGATTCTCCCAATCCGATCTGTAACATTTTCAACATAGGACAGGAAAGCTTTTTCCTTGACCAGCCTAGCTGGGGTTACTATGGCGTTTTCTCCTGGCCCGCTCAAATTTTCCTCTGCTGTACCATTTCTTTTAAGGCATTTTTCAGGTGATTGAGTCTCTCAGGAAGACTCTCAGGTTCACAAAAACGTCATGCTCTATCAATCAACGTTTTAATTGCCCCTCTCCTTAGTTGTGGCTGGTGGTTAGAGTTTTTGTTCAGGTACATGTCTGTGTGTATTGGTTTCCTGCACACTCTGTGTACCATCTTCACGTCTGTTCAGAAAAACATCCAAGAGTTCCTTGGGTTTCTCGTTCCATTATGAATTGGATATTTGGGACGATAGAGTTTAGATATAATAGAAATTTGTTTAGTGTCTCTTACTTGTATTACACTTTAGCAGATTCTTGTGGAAGGTTATATACAAAAAAACAGTGAGAAATATACATTTAAGTTGTCTCAGAGAGTCACGTATGATTTGAGTACAATTCCAGCTAGATGTTGATGTCTCAGCTGTCGGTTTTATCGCTGTTAAGAAGAAGCATTTTAGCACTGTGAAATTCTGTTTAGGTGGTGGCCTAGCAATTTTTTCACAATTTTATCGGTTTGAAGGAAATAATTTTTGGAAAACCGACTGCAGTTTTTGATGGTTTTCATATTTATTCATGAAAATTATAAATTTTCATTATACTCTGAAAATTTGGAAATGTAAATGATAAATATGAATGAGAAATATTGTGTCAGCCGGTATATTAGCTTCAGATAATAATATAATTGTTGATAGCCTCGTGTCGTATTATAATTACCGATTTTTCACTTTTTGAGGCGTAAAAATTGTATGGATTAACATTTGATTGATTATTCGCAAGCATGAATCAAAAAATTATTCAGTGTTTATTGATATTTATGTTAATGCAGCAAGTGCATATCTCGACATTTTGCAATAGGTGAGAATAACCACTCAGAAATGAGTGACAAAAATGAATACAAGCCAACTATGGGATCGAAGAATAATCTCAATTCACTCAAGATGTTTTGACTTTGAAGGAGGCAACTGCTTCGACCTCAACCTATTTATCTTACATCCAAATATAGTTGTTTACTGAAGATATATTTTAGATAAAAGTAATCCCCACAATCATGGTGAATTCAGTTTTACAATATTTATCATAATTATTCCGATTACCTTTTATTTTTAGTGGAAAAGTTGTATTCACATGTAGATTTGGATGATGTAAAATGGACCAATTATAATATTATATTATATTGACACTGTGACTATTGAATCGCATGCATTTGATCTCCTTTATTCTAGCGAGAAACTCAATTAGACCAGGGTCGATAATTTTTGAAACCAAAAAAATAACAGTAAGATGAAACCCATTAGAAAAAGGTAGAAATATTATAAAAATGAAAGGAAAAATAAATTACGGGCTATCTGAGTTCGGGAAGTGGGAAGGGGTGCGTTATCGAGGGTAAAAATAAATTCTGATTACGTTATTGATTATAATATTTTCAAAAACGTTAATCTTATTATTTATAAATACCTTATCTTAAATTTCAGTCACTTATCCATTAGTTTTTGTCATTTCTTAATCGTTAGATTCGAAAAACCTTTCCAACTCATCATAACCTTCTCCGTCTCCAATATTATTTGCAGTCTTCATTAATTCTTCATCCATAATTTCGTCTGAATCATTAACTTCCTGGTAGGTTTTTTTTCCATATCGGAGCAATTTTCAAAACCATGACAATTTGAGCATAAATTTGTGAATTTTAAACCATGTTTTCGACAGCCATATTTCAATCCGTCACATCCAGTTTCACAGCTGCAGCAAATACTTTTAAGAAATACTTCTGGAATTAATTCCTTTTCTGTGAATTTGGGCATAATGCCACGTTGTTGTTGCTTCCAGTCCCAATCTGTTACTGTCAGTTCGTTACCCAACCAAGTTTGAAGCTGATAATATGCCCTGTAACAATGTTATTCTGCTGCTCCTTCTGTGGGTGGGAGGTTTGCCAAAATGAAAAATGATTTAATATTTGCCAATTGATATTTTTGAAATCTTAATTGACTCAGTGTTATTTTTCAATTTTTACATTTATAAATAGATTTGATTGATTGTAATCCATTTTTTTATATCTTCTTCACTTGCATCTTTCTTATAAAAAAACATTGGCCAAAATTGACAAATTTTTAGCGTCTAATAATGAATTTACGAATGTTTTCTTTGCTTTTCTGGCAAATCCAGATGTTGTATCGCAACCGGAAAAACAATGCATAAATGCAACAATATTTTAGAAGGATTATTGTTTGAAACTATTAGACGTGAAAAATAGACTCTTTCCATTTCCAGAACCTGGTTTGAAAACATTAATATCATGATTATTTGAATTCAATTGATTTAATTGATTCAAGAACAGCAATAAATAGGCATCTACGAATATTATTTAAAAAAGATTCTAAGTACAACCATTTCCAGAACCTGGTTTGAAAAAATTAATATCATGATTATTTGAATTCAATTGATTTAATTGATTCAAGAACAGCAATAAATAGGCATCTACGAATATTATTTCAAAAAGATTCTAAGTACAACTGTATTAACTTATTTGTTTGTTAATTATAGTAGTATATCTCGATTTGCAATTTTTTAGTTTATCAATGTAACATAGAATCTTACGTTTTTTGAGTAATTAAAGTGCCAATTTTAGTAAATAGCTCCAAATTGTACATAATGATATAAACAAAATTCGAATTCGAGGTTTTTTCAATTTTTTGCAATTTCTGAGAACATTCACTAAAGTGATGTATATTTTCCTCACACCATCAGAGAATAGAATTTCAGCGAAGAAAAAGCATACCCACTTTTTGAAAAAAGCTGATATTTTGACGGGAGAGTTTCCGATTGAAAATTAGTGTTCTTTTTTGATATTAAGTCAGAATAAGGTGAAAAAATGAATATTTTGAATCAAATAAATTACAGTATATTTGGGACATTGGAAGGTAAGTATTCAGCAAAAAAATAGAGATTAAACAAGATGGTCAACTTCCTTTCCTTAATGTGATGTTGGAGAAATCAATTTGATACAAATATTAATATATATCTAATATATATCTCCACTAGACATCAAATCATTATGCGAGTGTTTAAAAAGGTATAATATATTGTATTGTTAACAGAGCAAACGATTCAAAATTAAATTGAAAATTTGAACAAAGAAGTATCATTGATAAAAATCTGTTCTGAAAAAGGACGCTTATCCAGATTTGTTCATGAAATCAATGTTAAATGCAATAGAGAATAGAGAGTCAATGAAAATTGAAAAACCATACAAACAACTTCACAATTCTCGACTCAACAACCATTCACACCTTTCACAACCAAAGTTATCCTTATATTCCAGGATTATATGAAAAGATAGGACGATTTGGAAATAGATACGATGATTTGAATGGTATTCAAATCACTCCCACATACAAAACTCAACAACCAAAAGGAAAAATAATATATTTTGCAAAATTGTCACAACACATGAAAAAAGATGGTGAACATCGAGTTGAATGGAACAAGATGAGAATGGTTGCTAATGAACCCCACCCTAAGAGACGTTAACTCAAAGAATCAGCTAACTACATCAGTGATCCAATAATTTTTCTAAAAAAAGGTTGTTTGGGTAACAGGATCAATTTTTTCTTAAAAAACAATTGTTTTGTTGCCGACGTTTCGAATTTAATTAAATTCTTCTTCAGGGCTCTGTAACAATGAATTTTCATGAATGTATCTTCCACAAAATTTATACGATTATTATCGATTAAATTTCACAAGAACTAATGAGTTCTTAATTAAATTACTTACCGTAGTAGTAATATTATCATTACTTCGTAATGATAATATTACTACTTTAAAAACCATCAGACATATTAGATACAATAAATTGATGGATATGAATGTAGCCGTTACTAGGTAGGAGATCATGATGCAAAGAGAAATGAAAATTTCTGTTTTTTACCTTTTATATTTGTAACTAACGTTATTGCAGTTACAAATAAAAGTGGTAAAAACATAGAAATTTTCATTTCTCTTTTCATATTGGATACATATGTAAAAAAAATAAAAATATTGCAACAACAAAATTTCTGAGACAACACCAACACAAAACGACATGAAACAAACGAATAACTTTATCTGTGATTCTGATAAGGTGGTGTGTGTTTTTTAATCAATAGCAGAAATAAAAAGAATTAAACAAGGATAAATTATTCAGGTATTTTACGTATCAAATTGAAATATGCAGTATAAAGGCCATCGATATCTCTTCTAGTGTTAACACTATCGCATTTGACGATGTGTATCATTTTGCTCGAAAATCTTTTGGATAAATATAGTTGGATGATCAAAATTAAAAATGTTTCCATATATTTTTTCATGTTTAACGAGAGCTGTGGGTTNAATAATAATAATAATAATAAATGAATTTATTGACAGCTGAAATAACATGATACAATATGGAGAAAAATAAAATACAAATTTGTCAATAGGATACAAGATTGAACAGAGTTTATTCTTCCTCTTACACCTTATTCCGTGATTCCGCATCACCTGCATCTTCGTGTCATGTGTTTGTCGATTGATGTGGCTTTGAGGACTGGTGGAGTCTTCCCAGTACCTACTCCG